CAGGCAGGGCTTGAATATCTCCAGAGAAGGAGACTCCACAACCTCCCTGAGCAGCCTGTTCCAGTGCTCCGTTAAAAGTGCCCCAAAAGCCCCACAGCTGCCTCTTCCTACCCTGTGTGCCCATCTCAGACTGGGAGCAGGGGAGCTGCCCCCTCCAGGGCTCCAGCCTTTGCCTTGCACAGGCAGGCAGCGCCCAGGGCCTTTCTGTGCAGGAATCACTTGTTCCTGGGGCTGCAGAGCCGTGGGGAAGCGGAGCACTGCCTTCTGCTCCTCCAGCCCAGCCACAGCCTGGAGCCCTCAGCTGCAGAACGAAGCCCGACCAGCGCAGCAGCTGCAGAGCCCTCGCACCCCCTTGACACGGCAGCGTGAGCCTGAGCTGCGCTCTGGCCTCCTCCCCGAGTCCCTGTCCCCAGGAGCTGCGCGTGCCCTTGGCTGAGGAGTGCCCGGAGCACGTACTTACTCTATGGCTTCTTCAGTGTGCGACTGTTGCTTGGTTTTCTGAAAGAGAAGAGAGGAGAGTGCCATCAGCCCTGCAGCCCCTCGGCTGTTGCTGGCAGGGAGGGCACGCAGAGCTGGCATCTGAGCCTCGGTGTTGCGCTCCTCATGTTCTGTTCTGCATGGGGTGCCTGCAGCCCTCTGCCAGCCCACCCCCAGCCTGGGCACCCTCCGTGTGCCGGGTGACACTAGCCGACTGCATGCTGGGCCACGGGAAGGCCAGCGCACTCGGCATGCTGCTGCCAGCTGTACCTGTTGGTTGTCTTCTTGGAACCGGTGCTCTCGCAGCTCTCCTTGTAGCAGACTTCCTGGTGTACCTTGTAGACTCTCCTGTACCTGCACACGCAGCAGAGGGGCGAGTTGTAGGGAGTAACAGGGATAGATCTGCTTTCACAAGTGCAAGGGGGGAGTCTGGGAGTCTCCCTCCTTTGCTTCCAGGCTGCAGTAGCCCAGCCTTGGTAGGAACGGTGCTAAAGCCTGCTGTGCCTGAGGGCTGACCCCCCACACAGCCCCACACCTTTGTGCCTCCACCAGAAGAGGCTGGGGGGGCAGGCAGAGCAGAGGCCCCCCTGCCCTGGCATTGCAGCTCAGAGCTGGACTGGCAGGCAGGGGATCTGCTGCCGCTTGGGGGTCCCACACCCCAAACCCAACCCCCCTGCCCC